GAAGTGCAAATGTGAAGCGTTGAAGGAGAATGGGAAGATGAGAAGGATTGAATCAACTTTATGGTAAATTGTTTCCGTTGGAGTAGGCTTCTTCTTTGAGAGGATGGGTAGTTGGTATTTTCGTTACTGTTAGAATGGATGCGCCGATCATGAAGGATTGAGTCGACATTTGGGCAGAAGTGTCATTCGGTAGTGGGTTACGTGGAAGCATTAGAACCCTACCGATTTGTTTTAGAAAGAACCAGAATAAAAGGGTTTTTATATATAATAATAATGATATATATATATATATATATATATATATATATATATATATATATATATATATATATATGGAGGGGTTCAATAGAGAACCAATATGGATGGAGGAACCAAGGAACCTATTAAGATGGTTGGATCAAAAAATTAACAGCCATTGGATTTGAGATGTAAAAGTATGAAAAAGAATAGTGTGCAGCTGATTATAACCAAACACATAACTTAAGGGGGCATTTTCGTCAACCTAAAACTTATTAACTCTCACTGTTAATTAACGACGTTAGTTCATCAGTTTCACATATCAGTGAAATCGATTTTACCCTCTCATTGAAAGCGATCTTTTACTTCACCGACGAACATCGATTTCAAACGAATCTCCGGCGTCGATTCTGTCAATATCCACAGTGAATCATCCCGAAAAGTTCGTCAAAATGAATCTAGAAGGTATATTTGACTGCTCTTCATTTCCAATTATCGCATTTAATGCATTTTCAACATTATATTTTTTCGATTGATAAATTTCAAAACGACAAATCTAAACTATATGTTACATTATGTATTCGATGAATCTGTGAATAAACTATTTTATTAACAAAATCGTTTTAGACTCATTTGAAACCCTCGGATGATGAACTTTTAATAATTTGTATACATAACGAAAACCTAATGATTTAAATTTCTTGAAATCGATATAGAAATCATGAATATCTATATTACAAACTGAATTTCCTAAAACTTTGTGAATCTAACTCGAATCTGAGTTTATTAAGTAAATCGAAACCCTAATTTCATGAACTTTTGAGAATTTGTATAATTACCAAAAACCTAATGATATAAATTTCTTCAAATCGATATAGAAATCATGAATATCTAAATTACAAACCGTAATTTCCTAAAAACTTTGTGAATCTATGTGGTTTCTGAGTCTATTCATTAAACTGAAAAACTAATTTCACATTTTGAATTCACCGTGTGCTTTGTGATTTACATTTGATTATTTTGAAAGGATTCAATGTTTCTGAGTATTACATTAGTTGACAATTCACAAAGTGAATCATGATTATATATCAATTTAACATATCATTTATTCAAATTGTGAATTCACAGGATGATTTATCATTTACATTTGATTTTTCATCTTGTGAAATTCACATTGTGCATCTATGTTTAATTGATATTGTATCTCTTATTGTGCTTCTCATTGTAAATTTATAAAGAGTTGCATTGGTAATGTTTTGATTCAAACTGAATTCACAATGTGAATAAATATTATGTTAAATTCATTTGTAATCCTGATTCACATTGTGAAATATATGAATAAGTCATAACTTTCATACCATGAAATTGATGTTTGAATTAATTTGTTAATAAAAAACAGGAAATGAAGAAAAGATCAATGAAAAAAAGGATAATAAGAAAAGAATGAAATTGACAAGAAATCTAAAAGATGTTCTACCTTCAACTACAAGTGAAAAAATTGAAGATATTCAAGATAAAAAAAAAGGTTAGAACATTCGCATTCAGATTAAAATAACTACTTATCTAATCATATACTACACACTTATTAAAAAAAATAATTCACAATGTGAATCTTGGATGTATGTCTCACATTCACACAGATTCACAATGTAAATCTCTTACTTTTTTTTGCAATTAAATCAACACTTTTGTTTGTATTCACTATGCACAAAATAATTTTAAAAATTCACCATGTGTATGTGTACATCACTTGGTGAACCTCAAACTATTTTGCTGTTAAATGCATAAATTCACAATGTGAATCTTAGATGTATATCTCACATTCACACAGATTCACAATGTGAATCTCTTAAAAAAAATTGCAAGTTGATCAATACTTTTGTTTGTATTCACTATGCACAAAATAATTGTAAAAATTCACCATGTATATGTGTACATCACTTGGTGAACCTCAAACTCTTTTGTTGTTAAATGCATAAATTCACAATGTGAATCTTGGATGTATGTCTCACATTCACACAGATTCACAATGTGAATCTCTTAATTTTTTTTGGCAAGTTGATCAACACTTTTGTTTGTATTCACTATGCACAAAATAATTTTAAAAATTCACCATGTGTATGTGTACATCACTTGGTGAACCTCAAACTCTTTTGCTGCTAAATGCATAAATTCACAATGTGAATCTTGGATGTATGCAGGGGCAGAACCAACTGGTGGCCAGGGGTAGCCCATGCTACCCCTCAAGTTTGTCCGAGAAGTGTAAAAAAATTGTTGAAGAAGAGATGTTATTCCTAGATGATATATTGTGCTACTCCTTAGCCCATATTCTTGAAGACGAGGGACAATGAAGATGATAAAGAGGAGCAGACGTAGTGAAGTCACACACAAATTTCTCTATTTTACAGCTCAAACTTCCGACTTCTTCTTGCTCATCTTCTCAATTGCAGATCCAAAACACGGTAGTTGATTTCCTTGCTTTCTGATTGTGTCCATATTCAATCATGATTTTTGATTTTCTTCTAGTAGAAATAGTTAAATAGCTTTATAGATTATACTGTTTTTTTAAAGATTTTTCATATGGGTGTGATCGTTTAATCTGTGGTCTTTGTTTTTTTATGAACACCAAGTGTTTGATAAAACTCTTGAATGAAAACCATCCACAATGTTGTAACCGATGAATGTAAACATAACACCTGTATCAAATGGAATCTTCAAATATTGCTTTCCTTGAATGTTTCCTAAATATTGCTTTTTTTTTAACTGGTTAGTGATCTGTTTTTGTATGATTCAAGTGTAGATCGATGCATATGTGACATTAGAATTAAGCTAAGGATGTATGATGAAATTTGTATAACTTGATTGTTCTTTCTCTAATTTTTTTTTTCCAAAACATGAGATACACCATGCTTTCATATTACACAAAACTAGTACTTTTCAAGTGAAAGCCTAATATAGATCATAAATAAGTTAGAGTAGTTGCACAAACCTGTACAACTTGATTGTTTATCTTGTTCACGAAACTTAATTTTGTTAGTTTTAATCATACAACATCTACATAAACCTATTTAATGTTTAACCAGGTCATTCTGTAACAATGTGAATTTTAGCAACTTTACTGAACTTAAATTTATGGAATGGACAATTTTGCCCCTATTGATTCCTGTTGTTATTATCTTGTGGTGGTTTCTCCTCTTTTTTGTTGGTTTGGACATTTTTTCCCCTGGTGCCTCTTTGTTTCCTTAGCTATTTGCTCTCTTGTAACAACTCTTCTATGGTGGTTTTCTTCATATTGTTGTGTTTTGTTTGGCTGCTCTTCATTGGTTCATCATGCAAAGTTCGTTGCCTTTTATGATGATTGCTGATTTGTTTCATAAGTACATTGCTATGTTTGTTCTTTGTTTGTTTCTTTTACCTGCTTGTATATTCTATTGTGCTACCCCTATACTTTTTCTATGGGTCCGCCACTAGATGTATGTCTCACATTCACACAGATTCACAATGTGAATCTCTTAATTTTTTTTTTTTTGCAAGTTGATCAACACTTTTGTTTGTATTCACTATGCACAAAATAGTTATAAAAATTCACCATGTGTATGTATATGTGTACATCACTTGGTGAACCTCAAACTCTTTCGCTGTTAAATGCATAAATTCACAATGTGAATCTTGGATGTATGTCTCACATTCACACAGATTCACAATGTGAATCTCTTAATTTTTTTTTTTGCAAGTTCACATTCACACAGATTCACAATGTGAATCTCTTAATTTTTTTTTGCAAGTTGATCAACACTTTTGTTTGTATTCACTATGCACAAAATAATTTTAAAAATTCACCATGTGTATGTGTACATCACTTGGTGAACCTCAAACTCTTTTGCTGTTAAATGCATAAATTCACAATGTGAATCTTGGATGTATGTCTCACATATTGTGAATCTGTTAAAAAAAATTTTTTTTTTTGCAAGTTGATCAACACTTTTGTTTGTATTCACTATGCACAAAATAGTTGTAAAAATTCACCATGTGTATTTGTACATCACTTGGTGAACCTCAAACTCTTTTGCTGTTAAATGCATAAATTCACAATGTGAATCTTGGATGTATGTCTCACATTCACACAGATTCACAATGTGAATCTCTTAAAATTTTTTTTTTGCAAGTTGATCAACACTTTTGTTTGTATTCAATATGCACAAAATAATTTTAAAAATTCACCATGTGTATGTGTACATCACTTGGTGAACCTCAAACTCTTTTGCTGTTAAATGCATAAATTCACAATATGAATCTTGGATGTATGTCTCACATTCACACAGATTCACAATGTGAATCTGTTAAAAAAATTTTTTTTGCAAGTTGATCAACACTTTTGTTTGTACTCACTATGCACAAAATAGTTGTAAAAATTCACCATGTGTATGTGTACATCACTTGGTGAACCTCAAACTCTTTTGCTGTTAAACGCATAAATTCACAATGTGAATCTTGGATATTTTTCACAATGTGTATGTGTATGTGTATATTGTTGGACATGTATTTCATAATACTACTTATATTTTTGACATTGATATTAAAAATTTCACATTGTGTAGTTGAAGGTTCAAAAAAATATATCAAAAACACAGCAAGGAGAACCGTGGTGGAAATAGTTAATAAATTAAGAAAAAATTGAAGATGAAAAGACTATTGATGAAAATGTTGAAAAAGAAAAAAGTTTAGAAGGTGATGAGATTCAAAAAAAGCAAACAAAAAAATTGATGAAGCAAGATGAATCTGTTTTGAAGACACTTGAAAACAAAACAAGACAAGGTTAGTATTTATAAAATTATAATTTACTTTATTATATAAAATCAGTTATCTTTAAATTTTTTTTAAATGAATAGAAATCAGACAGAGTCCAAGATTACAAAAAACAAAAACGAAAAAGTCGATGAAGCATGACAAATCTGTTTTCAAAACACCTAAAAAGAAAACAACTCAAGGTTAGTATTTATAAAATTATAATTGAATTTGATATTATAAAATTAATTCTTATTAGTTTTGTTAAAACATGAACAGAAATCAGACAGAGTCCAAGACTTAAAATGATTGAATACAAAAAATCTGTGACTCCTATTAAAATTGATGATAGCCTTGTAAAGAATGAATCTGATGAAAAAGTAACAGGTTTGTTTATTAATATTCACATGTTTAATTTACAAAGTTATAAACAAATTCACATGTTTATTTTATGTATTATATTATATTTTGCAAAAACAAATTCACACGTGAATTTCTTGTATTGTTAGTTATTTTATAGTATATATGTTATATTATGAGAAGCTTATGAAAATTATTGACTAACAGGAAAAAAAAAAGAAAAAGAAAAAGAAAAAGAAAAACAAAGACTGTGGAAGTAGTCAAAGAAAAAAAAAAGGCAAAAGTGCCAATAAATCCAAATGACAGAGTATCTTTGAGAACAAGAATGAGCCCAAAGAAGTTTTATGATATTGTTAAATCTTTAAACAAAGAACAGAAAAAAGCTGTTAGAGAAATGGGATTGAGATCTTTGCTGATAATTGCAACCAACAGAATTTCTGGGAAATTGGAACGTTTTGTTGTGAATTCATTCAATCCCATCAGATATGAAAATCCATCTACCTAATGCAAAGATAGACATAACACCAGAACTTGTTCATGATTTGCTTGGAATTCCTCTAGGTGGAAAAGATATATATAACACCGATCAATGTGAAGGAAAAGAATTAATGGATTGGAAGCAACAGTACAATTTCAAGGCTATGAGACCATCAGATGTTGAAGAGAGAATTAAAGAATCATCAGATTCAGGGATTATTTTCAGAATAAACTTTTTATTACTGTTTGTTAATACCATCTGTGAACAGAATAAGCCTGGAACTTGTAAGACAACAGTATTGCCACATTTGTTAGGCAAAACACCTATGAGAGAAATTGACTGGTGTGGTTTTATAACCAATTGCTTGAAAATGTCAAAGATGACGTGGGATGAAACCGATAGAGGAAACTACTATTGTGGGCCACTTATTGTATTATTGGTAAGAAAAATTCTTATAATTAACACTTTTATTTATATTATTATAAGAAAACTAATTAATCATAATTTTGTTTACATAAACAACTAGCTTATTTGGAGTTTATGAGAAATGATAAGAATGAAAAAAGACAAATACATGCACTATATTTTTGGGATTATGAAATGATGATGAAAAGGGAAAAAGCTAAGTTAAAGAGTGCTGACTTTGGAACTTTGGAATGGTATGATGATGTTATAGAGAATGATGAAGAATCCGACACCGATGAAAATGAAGATATGAAACTCGATGTAAGTTAATAATCTATATAATTAAAAAAAAAATTGAAGTTATATTACAGATATATGTTATAAAATTGTAGTTAAGATGAAATTCATAAAGTGATTCACATTGTGAATATAAAAGTGTATTTTATTACTTTCTCTATAATAAATTCACAAAGTGAATATGTAATTTATTAAAATGCATTAAAAATGTGATACCTCATCAATGCATTCATATTCTTAAACTGTAATTTATTATAGAAAAAAGTTAAAAAAAAAATTCATTTTTATTGACATTTTTTATCTCATTTCGCAGGAATTGGTATTCAAAGCGAAAAAGAATTACAAAAAACTAGTGAATAATAAAATGAAGTTTGGAAAGTTAATTGAGTTTTCAACAACAAAAAAAATAAAAAAACAATAATAGATGATAAAAAAAAAGAAAAAAAATACTAGAAAATCATCAATGCCTAGTTTTTCACTTGGACTTGGTCTTGGTCTAACACAAGAGTTTCAGGAAGGAGATGAAAGTAGTGAAGATGAACACATGAAGAAAGAAATAATAGATGAAAAACTTGATGAAGGAGAAAGTTATGATTCAGAAGGAACAGAATGTGACAATAATATATTCGGAATTAAAAGATGATGAAGACAAAAAAAGAGAAGTAGGAAAAAGATTAAAAAAACCATCACTGAAGCTATCTTCTCGTTATAATAAAAAAGAGGTTTGTGCATCAAAATTTGTAGATCCAGATGAAGTAAAAGTATCAGATAGAAATTTTTCCAGAATTGGTAATAGCAGGTAATAATTCATGTTATCTTTTATTTAAATACAATAGTATATAAATACAAATTGTAACATCCAAAATTCTGGTATGTCCTGAAACCCTAAGAAATGATAAGTTTGCATAATTGGTCCCTTAAGTGCGATGGGCGTACTTAAGTGTACGCTAGGTACCGCAAAAAATGGTCGGGGGAATTCAGGGTACGCCGGGCGTACCTTGAGTACGCGGGGCGTACGCGCCAGGGACGCAAACCCTAATTTTCGGACTTGGGCCTATTTAAACAACTTTAAGTCCCTTGGACTAAAACCCTAGAGAGCCTCCACAGCCCTAGAACGTCCATATACTCCTGGTAACCTTGTGAGATCATTCTTAGGCCTTAAAGAGTGCATTTTGGCTTTTGTGTGTTATTCAAGAAGAAGGGGTGGTCAAGCAAGCTTGGATCAAGAGGGTGCTTCAAGATCCTACACCAAAAGCATCTTGCAAAGCTTCTGGAGGTAAAAAGCTTGCATCTTTCCTTTCTAATCTTTAGATCTAGCTAGGGTTTTGGTGGTTTGTCCCTTTTATGAACTTTGGACCTCTTTTGTTGAGTTAAGCCTTCCCTTTTGATATGAAAGTCAGATCTGAGGTCCCCTGGTCATTTAGAAGTAAAAAATGGAGCTTGATGAGAGTTGTGACCTCATGCTTGGGTAAAAGACCTTGAAAAGGTCTTAATGGGGTGGTTCGGAGTGTATGAGGAATGCAGGGCATAAAGTTGCCAACTTTATGCATTGGGACATCTTTTCAATCTTAGATCTAGCTTTTGGACGTGAGAGATTCGAGCATTAAGCACTTAATGGGAAAAGTGCTTAATACGATTGTACGTTGGGCGTAACTGTCTGTACGCAGCGTGTAGTCACTAGACCCTCAGTACGCTGCGCGTACCAGGGAGGTACGATGGGCGTACGCAGCTCAGATGGGCCCTAATCTGTTTTGGGCCTTTGAGCCTCATTTGGCTGATGAGCTTGTTTGGACTCTGTAAGATTGAGGCATTTTCATCTGTTTGGGCCAAGGACTTATTGGTTGGGCCTTATTGGGCCAAGGGGCCCATTAAGGATATTGGACTTGGATTTTGGGGTCCAATTTGCAAGAAGGGGGGTTGGGCCTTGGGGGTAGAGTTTGAAGGTTGGGCCTTTCCTTGGGTAATTTAAGGTCTTATCATTGATTATATATTATGTTATTATTCAGCTTGGTAGGTTGCAGATTATTGAGAGGGCAGTAATTGTATTCATTGGACGGAGGTGAGTCTTCTCACCATACCTATGGGTCTACTGCACCAAGGCCGACTCATTATGTGATCATGTTATGTGTGTGTTATTCATTTATGAATTGATATGTTGTGTGATATTATGTTGGTATGGAAGACCCCGGGGGGAGCCCGTGGCATTGGATATAAGACCATTGGTTAGCCCATGGCAGTCCTAGGTAAAGGTAAAGACCATGTGGGGTAGCCCATGACATTGGATGTAAGACCATGTGGGGTAGCCCATGGCGGTCCTAGGTAAAGACCATGTGGGGTAGCCCATGACACTCTTGTTGAATCATATTACATAGTTTCTGTGGCATGTTTATAGCTTATTTTTAGCTATCAGGATATATGTATGTGAATGTGTGTGGTATGCTCTGGGAAACTCACTAAGCATTTCGCTTACAGGTTGTTGATTTGTTTCAGGTACTTCTGAGCCTAAGGGCAAGGGCAAGGCGTGATGACGTGACGTGCACTCTATCTCTCTTTTGATGTGTTTGGGACCCTCTGATGTTTTAAAAAGGAAAACAATGAAGTAATGAATGTTGATTTGAAAATAAATGTTTTGGGATTTTATGGTTTAGGGGATTGGATTTGGTTTTAAAAGGAAAAAAAAATATAATGAAAATTTTCTTTGTAAAATTGGGTCGTTACACAAATACAATTTAATTTTCTATTAACTGCTTTTTTGTTTTATTTGATTACAAATTAAGTGAGAAGGTATTTCAGACTAAGAGAGGTTATATGCTTGGAAGAGGAATGATTGAAACAATGCAGCCAAGATTATGGGTACATGCACATGTCATTGATGCTTGGACTGATATTTTGAACTACGAAGAAAACCTTAAATCAAATTCTACAATGAATCGGTATTTCTTTGATACATCAATGGTGGTAAGTTAATTAAAAAATATATATCATGATAATGTTTATAATATAATAAATAAAATTTTCAATAGTTCTGAATAAGTAATAAAATTCACACAGTGAATCCCATTATAATTCACTGTGTGAATAATTTTAAATTTTAAATTTATCTTATTGTGAATTTAACAATTTACTCTTTAAAGTTTGATATATATTTAAATTTTTTTGCAGATACAGTTCATATTTGACAAAAATATCCCTTTCAATGAAAGATTTGATAAATTTGAGTCAAATATCAAAGATGCAATGAAAAAGGACAAAGAACTTCTGACATTTGAAAAAGTTCACTTGGTAATAAACTGTTCTTTTTGTTGAATATATTACATATTTTAAACAAAGTTGAACAATTTAAATTATTAAACAGGTGTTTTTACCAGTTCATCAAAAAATCACTTTTACATCATCTGCATAAACTTAGAGGAACCAACGGTTGATGTCATTGACAATAGGAATTCAGTTGCAAAGTTTTCTAGAGCTTATCGTGATGCACCTAATGAATTGGTAAGAATAGTAAATTTACATTATAAATATAAGTATTAATAGACTGATAATCTAAATAAAATAATAATTATAGAAAATGACAATTTCTTTTTTGCAGAAAATACTTTTTAGTAGGTACTTGATAAGGGTCAATCACAAATCAGCTTCAACTTTGGAGGGTGTTGAACCAGAAAGGGTGAACATGAATTGGCGCACGAGGGATAATCATGTTGAATGTGGAGTTTTTTGCATGCGTCATATGGAGACATATATGGGAGATAAAACAGTAAATTGGACATGTGGGTTGCCAAAAGAATCAAAACAACAACAAAGTGTGTTAAACGATTAACGCATTAAGTATTTGACAAAGATACTATTGAGTGACGCAAACACATACAGGTCAAAAATCATTGCACAAACAGCTAAGTTTGCAAAAAAGACTAATGAAGAAATAAAAGATTTGCTCAACAAGGGATGAGAAAAAGGGGGAGAAAGGATATAGTACTTCAAGGATTGGAAAAAGAAGTATAAAACTTAAAACTTAGTTTTCTATTCATAATTAGTATAAGTTTAGATGCACTTTAATTTCTTTAAGAACATATACATGCTTGTTATGTTACAATTGATGTTAGTTTCTATATCAAATATAATGAACTTTACTAAATACTTAAAAGTGTTTATATTTTCATGTGAATGTCTACATGTATGGTATACAATTACATGTTTTATTAAAAATATGCTATTGGTGTGTGGGTGGGTGGGTGGGGGAATGATTATATTTCTACTTTGAATAAAGAATTGAAAATACATTGTCATTTCATATATTTACTTCATTTCTTAGGTCTAAATGATTAAATGTTAATGTAATAACAATACAATATATGTAGAAAATTTACATTGTTTATATGTTAACCTTGTGAAAATTTTATATGTCAGATTCACAATGTGAATTACAGTACATATTATAACATGTATATTTTATATGTGAGGTTCACAATGTGAATTATGGTACATATAGATCATTAGAACAATTAATAGTTGAGATTCACAATGTGAATTAAATTACATTAAGACAATCTTTAACATGAAAATTTTATATCTGAGATTAACAATAATATACATAAATTAAATCATTAGCATGAAATTTTTATTAGAAAAGATTCAAAAAACTAACAATAAAAAAATATCTTTAACCAAAAACAGTAAATTTGAAAAATATATATTTTATTATTAGAAATAAAGTCTAAAAAAATGAATATCAAAATTAACATCAATATTTCAACATTTCTATCCATTGAATGATCATTACAAAAATCAAATCTTATTTTAATAGTCTTAAAAAGAAAAAAATTAGAAACAATCAGCCTTCTGTAACATCAGATTCTAAATCAGACTTCTTTAACCTCAAAATGCAACTCCTAGCATCGTGATTTGGTTTATGACATAAACTGCACAACCTAGAACCCCTTTTAGATTTCTCAATCACTTTCTCTCTAGTGCTCTTGGTTCTTTTACCACTGGCCCATCCCTTGTTTCTGATCCCCTCTGGATTATGAATGTTGATAACATCAGGTACTGCGGCTCCAATAATTTTTTCAATGTGAACTAATCTACTCGAAGATGCCCTTGATGAGGTACATAAAGGAATATCACTATCAACCTCCTAAAGTTGCTTTATATATTTAGCCAACTCATCCTCATTATTTGCTATCTTGCTAATGGACAAACGAAGAATAGCATACGCATCTTGAATCAAACATTCATTTTTACTGCCTTTATGAGGATATGAGTACTTTTTTCTCAACAATCCATCAGCTATGATATCTTTTCCCCATCTCCTCAAAATGAAATTTGATGGAATTTCATCATACTTTTTCATATTTAATATGAAAAACATATGACGACATAACAATCCTTCCTAAACAAAAAACATGCAGCTGCAACTGATGCTAATGCTATCACCCCTTCTACTAAATACAACCTACAAAATTATCATTAATAAACAAATTAATATGTGAATAAGAAATTCTATCTCATACCATTCGATAAAAATTATACAAATTAACATCGATTCACATTATTAATCAAAGTGACATTAGAAATCATAATACTATAATATAAATATGTAGTTAAAATCAAATTAAAAAAAAAAGATACATATTCCATACTAATCTAATGAAAAGTACAAACCAATTTATAACTCTATAAAAAATTCACACTGTGAATTAGCAAAACATCCTACATTCACAGTGTGAATTTTTAAACTACATTTTATATTTAATAAACTGTATTAGGACAAAGAGACATACCTTGTAACGAATATTAGGACAATGAGAAGGAAGACTATTTCGATAAAAATCATCAGAATCTTCATCTTCATTCACATTTTTATCAATCAACCTTTTTTTCTTCTTATCTCTCAAAACATAAACTTCACTTTCATCTTCAATAACTACATATTCTTAAACACAATAAAACACAGATTTGTATAACTCTTTCTGAATGTCCAAGAAAATATTATGTGTATAAATTTCTGATGCATGCTTTTCAATAGCCAAAGGAGTCCTTTAGCTTGGGGGTAGTAGTTGTGGATTGATAATCTAATAACGATTGATGATGCCTTTGCTTCTCCATTGCACTATCAAACGACATCATGAACTTCACCAAATTTGATTTATGATGCAAAAAATGTGAGAAAGCATAATTCAGACTCTCTGATCTTGAAGTAGTTCGCATCAAACAAGTTAGTTCAAGATCTCTCATAAAAGCCGGAATCCATAAATCCCTTATTTTAAAAACAGACCTTACCCAGTCATTTTCTTTTAGATGAAACTTATCTAACATTGTTGACGACAAACTTTCAAAATCTTGTGGAGAACATTGAAGATTCTATATTATCAAAAAATGTCTTCTGGAAGTCTGGATGGCTATAAACATCGATAGGAATCTAAAAAAAAGAAACACATAAGAATCATTACATATGTTGAATATTTGATGTAATTCATAGTAACATAACATTTGGTTAACATTATGAATTCACAGTGTGATTTATGATTTAGATTTGTTCCTTTCATCATATGTAAATTTACATTGTGAATTCACAATGTGCTTTATGATATATATGGTTATAAACATATATAGGAATCAAGAAACAAAGAATATACCTTTTCCTCAAGTTTTTGAGTGATGTGCCACATGCATAGTCTATGATTCGATTCAGGAAAAACAAAATTAACAGCTTTCTTCATTGATGAATCCTGATCTGTTACAATCATCATGGGTGGCTTGACAAATGCTTTACGAAACACTTCAAGCAACTACACATATGCATCTGCTGTCTCACAAGCTAGTAAACCAGCAGCAAAAGTAACACAACGCATGTGGTAGTCAACTCCAGTAAAAAGAACAAATACCATAAAATACATGAATATTTGTTTGATAAGTATTATTAAAAAGAACAAATACCATAAAAAGAACAAATAAGGATTAGGAATTACTTGTTTGTTTGATAAGTAGCATCAAAAGATAGTACATCTCCAAATTCCTTATAGTTGGCTTTCGAAGTATCATCAGCCCAAAAAAGTCCAGTAAGATGATCATCAACATCTTTTTGGACCTCAAATGAAAAATTAGAGAAACACAATTTTCTGTTTGTCAATATATCCACAACCATTTGGGAATCTTTGACACCAATTTTAGAATTCAAATCTTTATGAAATTTTTTAAAGTCAACTGCAGTCCCTCCCCTAGAATAAAAGCCACCCTTCATACTCCTCACCAAGTTATAAGCTTTTGAAGCACCAATGTTACAAGTATCAACCTTATGTATAAAGGATTCATCAAGAAAATCCATTGTCATATTAATCCTTAATAAGTGCAACTGATCTTGAGTAACAAGTTCATGGTTGTGATCTTCAACAAACACATAAATGTAGAACATTAAAGAACATCAGAGATTCTTGAACTTTGAAACAGCAGGGCATCCGTTCTTCTTAGAAGAAGTTCTCAATCTCTTAACATCTGAAAATTTAACATTAATATTTTCATTCTTGAATGACTCCGTGAAACCAGATCTACTACATGTCGAATATCTAATACGAATTGTGCCATCATTGTATCTTTTTTTGACTTGACATATTCACATCAAAACCATATTCTTGACCATAAGTCTTGTAAAAGTCAAGACTAATGTCCAACGAATCAAACAGCAATCCTTTGAAAGGCTTCTTATGTATCAACTTATCATAAGGAACAAGCTTAAAAGTTTCAATATTGTAGAGCTCAAAATAAAAACTATAACGAGAATTACTTCTATTTGAATGATCAATATTCATACTTGAAGATGATTGATCATAAACTGCAAAACCAAACAAAACATCTATTTTATTACATTATATATAAAATGTGAAATTTATATTAAGAAAAAAAAACTTACGTGATTGTTCATTAATAATTGAATGCAAATATGAACAAGAATTACTGCTATTTGAATGATCAATATTCATATTTGAAGATAATTGATCATGAACTGCAAAACCAAAAAAAACATCTATTTTATTACATTATATAGAAAATGTGAAATTTATATAAAGAAAAAAAAACTTACGTGATTGTTCATTAATAGTTGAATGCAAATCCGAACAAGAATTCAGAGAACTCATAATGAATCGTCGGTAACCTGGAGTTTATATACAGATTAGAAATTTAGAATTGATAATTATACAAAAAAGGAAACAAATAAACAAGATAATCACAAAACTTTAAAATATATGCACAAGATAAGATAAGATTCTCAAAATCACTAAAAGTTTGGAAAAAACTTAAATGTCAGAAGATGCACAAGATATAATTGATTATCTAAATGTCGAATATGCATTACAGACGAATGATTACAGAAACGATTGAATGAAAAACAGTAACATCAAACAAATATTTAACATACGGCATAAAATTAGCAAATTAACAATAAAAACATAACAATTTAAAGATTAAACGGTAAAATCAAGAGAATTTGACAATCAGACGATTACAATAACAATAAAAATAATATTGATAAACAATGCATCAGAAGAAAAACGGTAAAATCAAAGTCCATAATTGACCTAATAATCATAAACGAAAGATGAATAGATGTTAAAAATACCTGATTATTAGCTGAAATCTGAAGAAAATATTAGTAAATTGGATGAAAAAGGTTGAGATTTCGAAGAACATGTGAGATTTTGGATCGATCAGTGTTAGAAGACGAAGGACAGTAACCGAAGACGCTAACGGAGACAAACATGAATATTAAATGAGACGCTGAACTTACCAAAATGCCCCTCCGTGTTTTTTTTGGTTAATTAAGGATTAATGGCCAAGATTAAAAGAAAATAGATGGTTAAGATGGGTTCCTTGGTTCTTTGATCCATATTGGTTTTCTATTGAACTTTTATATATATATATATATATATATATATATATATATATATATATATATATATATATCTATATATATATATATATAGGGGTGAGATCGGTTGAGAACTCATAGTTTCCCGAGAACCTGAGAACTAAAGGTGGAGCGTTAGATCAAAATTAACTCATTAAGGGCATGATCGTAATCTTAATGATCTCATTTAATGTTTATTTTTTTGTGTTATTGGACAAAATTAACATAATAAATCAAATTTCAGATTTTTTTTAATAATTTATTTTTTAAATGGAGTTTTTTTTAATTTTTTTCAAAAAACATGAATTTAAAAAAAAATGAAAAAATGTAATTTTTTAAAAGAACTGCACAATTTTTCAAAAAAAAAACCGCTTTTTTAAAAATAAAAAAAAACATCATTTTTTTTCAAAAAAAAAAAGACTGCAGTTTTTTATAAAAAAAACTTGCATTTTTTTCAAAAAAAATAACTGTAATCTTTTCAAAAAAAAACTCCAATTTTTTTTTAAAAAAAACTGCATTTTTTTTTCAAAAAAAAAAACTCCAATTTTTTCAAAAAAAAACCTGCAATTTTTTTATAAAAAAACTGCATTTTTTTCAAATAAAACTGCAAATTTTTTTTAAAAAAAAACCTAGAATATTTAAAAAATAACCTAACTTTTCAAATGCATATATATGTATATTTCTTATACTATAATATTCGTAAGTAAATTATAAAAGATCTTATTTTTATTAATCAATCTATAAATATATTAATACAAGTATTTTGTTCGATACAAAATAATATATAAAAAATAAAAAAAGCTACAAAGATTCACAATGTTATCATTTCTTCATGTCAAGATTTCTATATTTTCTTCAATTTATCACTTTTCACCTCTTCAATATTTTCCACAAATTCTTCCAAAATCTACAAAAAACTTAAAAAAAAATTGATTAATGCAAGAACACTCCCAAAAATGCATATGTATATATCATGTAAGATTCACATGTGATAATATCATGTAAGATTCACATGTGATAATATCATGTAAGATTCACATTGGATTATATAATGTGATATTCACATGTAATTGTATATTTTAATATTCAAATGTGAAATTAACAAGAAAAATTAAAAAGATAACAAAATGCAAGTATGCATATAGACGTAATTTATATGTGATTCACTTGTGATTTACGTGTGAATCACATGTAATTCATATGTGATTCACTTCATGTGATTCATATGTAAATTACATATGATTTACATGTGAATCACCTTTACTTCACTTGTGATTTACATGTGAATCACATGTAATTCACGTGTGATTCATATGTGATTTACAAGTGAATTAAATGTGATTCTTATGTGAATTACATTCACTTATGATTTACATGTGAATTACATGTAATTTATATGTGATTTACATGTGAATCACATGTGATTCATATGTGAATTACATGTGATTTACATGTGAATCACATTTAATTCACTTGTGATTTACATGTGAATCACATGTAATTCACATGTGATTTACAAGTGAATTAAATATGATTCATATGTGAATTACATTAACTTGTGATTTACATGTGAATCACATGTGATTCATATGTGAATTAAATGTGATTTACATGTGAATCACATTTAATTCACATTTAATTTACTTATGATTTAAATGTGATTCATATGTAATTTACAAGTGAATTAAATGCGATTCATATGTGAATTACATGTGAATCACATGTAATTTATGATTCACTTGTGATTTACATGTGAATCACTACACATTTATAGTCTTGCTTCCAATTAATTACTAAAATATTATGCCAATTCACACAAATCACATATGATTTGTAATTGATTATTGCCATTGACCAATTAATTACTACATACTTATAGCCCTGATGCATCTTGTAGTGGTTGACCATCCACCATGAGTATAGACACCTTCTTGTATTAAGACCCTTTGATTTCTTTCTTACTAAATAGATTCACCTACACAAAATCAAATGAATATCAACATGAACGGTCAATAATAAGGTCTGCACAAATTCAACTTTTACCAACAAAACATATTGACTTTTATGGATGTTGTGCACTTATTCACCAAAACCACTAAAATTTTATCCCATCCATGCCCTATACAAATGGCTAAAGCACAATGATACACATCATAGGCTATAGCTTAGAAAAATGATAAAGCAGCTAGATTTTTCTTGACATTAAATAAATCACACCTACAAACTAAACCTAAATCCATATCATAAAATCCACTGACAGAAATAATAAGTCAATAAAAAAACATTTCATCAAAATCTAGAATGAGAGGATTTGAGATGAAGATCAAGTCATAAAACATAGTTGAATTATTGTAGTTAAAAACAAATATGTTCATTTATACTTAGAGTTTTTTTCTTGAATAGTAAACAATTAAACATTATATTATCACATTACAACAATACTACAAATTAAAAGACAACAGGTTAATAGCTTTGCGCTAGTTTAAGCACCCACAAGTTAGGACATTTAATAGTAAAAAAGTTAAATATTTATTTATATCATGGTATTAAAAATCGTATGGATCACATTTGATTAGTAAAAAAGAGAATAATATATTTAATTGTAAAGGAAAATTGAGCTAGATTCCTAAGTTACCAATATCAAATATCAATAACTCTGTTGAATTTCATAGAAAAATCTATTCAACGAGGCCGGAAAAAAGTTCATTTATACTTATGTGATTAAAAAAGCAATCAAAAACTCAACATACTGATATTTAAAATACACAAATATAACTGAGATCAATTATTGATTGACTTACCAGTAGACACAAAATTGCAGTTGTCAATTTGTCGCTTTCTGATAGAATCTGAAATTGCCTTAACGCCATCAATTAATCTTACCGGAGAAGTTGAGGCGAATTGATCGATGAAGGTAAAACGAACAGAGAGAAAATCCTACAGTTTCAGTTACAAAATGGCGACGTTAGGTTGAATCGATTCCAGATCTACGGAATTCGATTTTAGAACAAAACTTGATGAATCTCCAATGACGCCGATTTCATATACACAATGGAGGAGACGTGAACAAGAAGAAGATGCCTTTGGCAGCGAGGAATTTATATAGAAGGCGGAGATGTAATCGGTTGCGGACTGTAAGGTGAGTCGATGGTGTAGGTTTTTGGGGGAGATGGTGGGAAGATGTAAGTGATAGCCACAGAGATTTAATCGAGAGAAAACAATATATATTTTTATCAGATATTGTAATTTAGGATATTATTCAATTAAATATGTGTTTCCCATGATGCCCTTGTCCTTTTAAATTAAGATACCCCCGTCCTTATATATTTCTATTTATTTACAAAAATGCCACAAGTGATCACGGTCATCCGTTTTTTTGATCTAACGTTCCACCTTTTGTTCTCGGGTTCTCGGGAAATTTTGAGTTCTCAAATGATCCTTCCTCTATATATATATATATATATATATATATATATATATATATATATATATATATAATATATATATATATATTATATATATAGGGTGAATACTAAAAAATAAGTGAGGATTACGATGACAAATCATTGTCGTAAGATTGTAAAAACAAAATGTGAAGATTTGATTTTATTTATCGTCAAAATCTCGCGAGATGATATGACGCTTTTGTAAATATATGCGAGATTTTGGTATTTTCCAGCAAATGTTAATTGTTTGGAGGTTAAATAGGTAAAAGAAAAAAGGAAAAAAAATTTTCCTCCCCCCAAACGTGTACATCCCCCCTCCCCCATCTTTTTCTTTATCTTTCTCTCTCTCCCTCATTCAAAAATAATATGTATGAAGAATATTATGATCTTTAATACTTTTACTATTTAAAACTTTTATAATTGTTAAAAACAAAATTGCAAAAATGGTCCCTTTGGTATGCATTTTTTTGGGGTTTTAGTCCAAACCTCGACTTTTTTGGATTAGTAGTCATTTTGAGCTAGTTTACATGCAGTTTTGGTCCCTCAGTAAACTGAAATGACTGTAATACCCTTGGGGTATTTATTTTACATTTTTCTTTGATTTTTTTAAATATAATATCTATTTATTTATTTTAATAATAAAAAGGGCCCACTTCTCTCTCTCTCTCTCTCTCTCTCTCTCTCTCTCGTTCATACTTCACCGGACCAACATTCCCCTTCCTTCTTCTTCACTTACAACTAAGAACCACCGCATCCGTCCACCGGAGCAGCTCCCTCCGCCACT